TCTGTGCTTTATACATGGTGTCAAAGTCAATGTAGGAATTATCAATCTGTGCTTTATACATGGTGTCAATGTCAATGTAGGAATTATCAATCTGTGCTTTATACATGGTGTCAATGTCAATGTAGGAATTATCAATCTGTGCTTTATACATGGTGTCAATGTCAATGTAGGAATTATCAATCTGTGCTTTATACATGGTGTCAATGTCAATGTAGGAATTATCAATCTGTGCTTTATACATGGTGTCAATGTCAATGTAGGAATTATCAATCTGTGCTTTATACATGGTGTCAATGTCAATGTAGGAATTATCAATCTGTGCTTTATATAGTATGATTATGAATATAATTTATAATCTGTGTTAATGCTCAATTATGACATGCATTGACTAAGCTGGCATCCCCCTTTCATATTTTGACACCTCCCATGCCACATTGTACTTCATGCAATATTTGCTCACATTTCGTCCTTCAGTCGGATTTACATTAATTAACACCAGACTGTTCATTCGCTTATCCGTGCTCGCATCCTCTTCAAGCATCAGTTCATTTTGCCGCACCGTACGATACACATCGTCTCAGCAGAATTCCTTGCTAAAGCATTTCAGCCATTCATTTTGTCACAAATACCAGTTTTTCTTCACAACATCCAGTTCCAACATGCCTCGAGGACGCGGAAGATCTAACACCAGCCGTGGCGGTCGCAAGTCTCAACGAAATCGTCGTACTCCAGCTCGCTTCCAAAATGTTGCGACTATAGACGTAACTGACTCACCTCCGCAAGAATCGTCAGCACACAATGGAGATCCCACTGTACTACAGTCCACGAACTTCCCCAGCGATGTCATCACAGTTAGCAGAAGCGAACTCGCAGATCTCGTTCGTAGCCTACAACAGCAAGGAAACTGTCAAACGCAGCCGAATAATAATTCGCAACCGCCGGCTGCTCCACAACTGTCGGCAAGCCTCGTGTCATCACGCGACCCAAGCCAAACAACGCCATCAAGTTCGACGCCAATTGACTCTCTCACAAATAACAGCCTTCCGATTACCTTGCCAATAGCTAGTCAACATAATGCGATCGTACACAATAATACCGCTCATCAAGACAATTCGATGTTTCAACAACTTCCAGCTACTACAGCCAAGCATCGCTAGCTCACGCTAATCCTAGTCAACAAAGTTTTGCTACCGGGGGTCATTTCAACGCAACCAACATGGCCGCTCCCATACAACGTTTCGCCGGTGAGGGCATTCTCACTTCCGCTTCCGGTATCAACACTGCGACACAGGCGATGCCGATGATGAACAATGCCAGCATTGCAGTTCCTCCTATCACCCCACCTGCAGACTTGTTTTACCATACGTCGACCAGCAAATACTCAATCAACTAGCAAACCGGGGTAAGTTTGTTGATTTGTCCGATTTACACCCTGACTCAAGAAAACCAAATGCCACCCAGATCTCAAACACCCGAGTGGCTTTGGACTCTGACGATCCCTCAGTCGCTGTTCTCTCAAAACATGCAAAAAAGAATGAAATTCGCAATTTAGCAAACTGGCTGGAATGTTGGTCAACATTTGCTGCCTATAGGGCACATTATTTTCCCCATGAGGCTGTACATTTATTCAATTACCAGCGTCACATCGCCAGCCGAGCTCTTGAGTTCAAGCCAGAAGCATGGGTCATCTATGACAAAGAATTCCGTCTAGATTACTCACGTTACCCTGGCCTACGGAACTGGAGTTTGCCTAACAACCAACTTGACTACAAATTCTGTCAACAAAAACTCCATCTGCTCATTCCAACATGTCCTGACTGTCATCAGAAAGGTCATACCAAACAGGAATGCCAACGAAGCAGGAATCCTTATACATGGGTGAACGAATCTGCTGACAATTATAACAATACAGTGTGCCGTAATTTCAATCAAGATCGCTGCGAAACTCCATGCCGGTATAATCGTCTCCACATTTGTTCGTCTTGCCACTCTGCAGGCCACACTGCCACTAGCCACCGCGATACCAAGACGAAAAACCAGTTTTTTCGTGGCTACACACCACGACCCTTTCACGCCAATGATCATGCCAGCTCACGTGGTCGAAAATATGCACCCAAGCACACCTCTTAAGCTCGATTCCTTTGCGCAAGAACTGCACGATCACCCGGACAAATCATTCGTAGCAGCCATTTTATTTGACATTTCTCATGGGGCTAACCTTGGATTTCGCGGCAAGCACTACCCAAGATCTACACGCAACGCCAAGTCCGCTCGCATCAACCCCTCTATCATCACAGAATCAATCCAAAAAGAACTCAAACTTGGTCACACTATCGGACCATTTAAACGTCCTCCCCTCAAAAACTTTGTCTGTAATTCTCTTGGCCTACGGCCTAAGAAAAGTGGGGGTTTTCGCATTATCATGGATCTCTCCCAACCTACACTTGACAGCGTCAATGACAATATCTCAAAAGAAGATCATTCATTGGTCTACTCACGCATCGATGATGCTGTAGCCTTCATTCACAAGCATGGCCATGGCTCCTTACTCGCAAAAATCGATGTTAAACACGCATTTCGCTTATGCCCAGTTCGGAAGGAAGACTGGCACCTGCTCGGGTTTTTTTGGGAAGGATGCTATTTCTTCGACCGTGTGCTGCCATTTGGGCTTCGCTCAGCACCATACCTCTTCAACCGCATTGCTGATGCCATTCACTGGATCGTTAGTCATCGCGCAAGGAATACGGATTTTCTACACTACCTAGACGATTTCCTGACAGTTGGACTGGCAAACACTAACGCCTGCCAGCACAATATGGATGTTATGCTGCAAAGTTGTCACCACTTGGGGGTACCCATTGCTACAGAAAAGGTTGAGGGTCCCTGCTCTGTCATCACCTTTCTAGGGGTGGAGCTTGACACTGTCAACATGGTTATTAGACTACCTAAGGACAAGCTTGCGGATCTACTTATCAAGCTGCCAAGCTGCTTGACCCGCCATACATGCTCGAAACGTGAATTGCTCTCCCTCATTGGATGCCTCAGTTTCGCATGTAAGTGCATACCAGCCGGCCGCATCTTCCTGAGGCGCATGATTGATATCAGCATGACAGCCACCAGTCTTTCTCAAGTCATAACACTCACTGACGAATTCTGGCACGACGTTCAATGGTGGTGTGACTTCTTGCCATCTTGGAACGGCACAGCATCCCTCCTCAACCCAAACTGGATACCGTCCCCAGAATTCGAACTGTTTACAGACGCCTCAGCAACACTTGGCTACGGGGCATTCTACAAGGGTCATTGGTTCACAAACACCTGGCCTACATTCATTACAAATGACCCTTTATACTCTATTGCCTGCAAGGAACTTCTACCAATTCTACTATCTTCCTTAATTTGGGGCCACTTGTGGTTTGGTCTTCGAATACGGTTTCACTGCGATAACATATCAGTTGTCCAAATATGGAAAAAAGGCTCCTCATCATGTCCACGGATCATGCAACTTGTCCGACTGCTGTTCTTCACTGCAGCATCTAATAACTTTCACGTCATGATCTCACATATCTCAGGGTTTAATAACGATATCGCTGACTCTCTCTCTCGCCAACAGATATTGCGGTTTCAACGACTGGCACCTCAGGCAGACAGGGTCCCAACCAAAACTCCGGACCTGTGCACCCTCTTAACGGCTCCGATGTGCGACGTAGTCCCGTCAACCTCACACAACAAGCCTGCCACTACATCAACCTGAGCATTGCACCAGGTACACGACGGACATATCATGCGGGACAAACTCGCTATCTTCTCTTCTGTCGCATGTATGGAATGAATCCTTATCCACTAACGCAACGCTCAACGATTCTGTTTATGACACATCTCGCAACATCGTCACTTACCTATGGCACGCTAAAAGTTTACCTCGCAGCTATCATCCGTGCACACATCGAAGCTGGCTTCACCTCATCAATACGCGACGACCTCCTGCTTCACTTCACTATGCAAGGCATTAAAAGACATCACGGCGTGCCAAATCGTGTAAAACTCCCAATCACCATTGCACTAATGCGAATGCTTAAGAACACCGTCGCAAACCATCCCACTATTTGCGACCATGACAAAGCTATGTTGTGGTCTGCCTTTACACTGGCGTTCTTCGGCTTCTTGAGAGTCAGTGAATTTGTCGCACCCACGTCAATGACCTTCGATCCACAACGCACTTTACTGACGGCAGACATCACGTGCAACACAGACCTCGTCATTGCGCTCAAGGCGTCTAAGACAGACCCATTCCGCCGGGGATGTAACATCATCATCGCACCCTCACAGTCATCGGTCTGCGCCGTGCAGGCATACCAGCACTACATAGTTCCGTCGCTCACCTACCCGCATTCCAGTTCGCCAACAGTAATTTCCTCACGCGGCAAGCTGTTAGCAACCACATTCGAGACCTTCTCACTCGCGCATCTGTACCAGATGTTAACCGTTACACTACTCACAGTTTCCGCAGTGGTGCAGCTACGACAGCTGCCGACGCAAATCTTCCGGACTGGTTGATCAAGGCACTGGGCAGGTGGCGCAGCGACGCCTACCAGACGTACATTCGCACACCCCCCAGCATCATCCGCTCAGTTCCGGGTCACTTGTCACTTGCTCTTCCTTAACTGTAATTTCGACATTTGTCTTGAGATTTCATTTCGTTTTCGTTGCATGTATTTGCAGTGTATTTAGTTTAATGTTTCATAGGTCTAACCATGCTTTGTTTTATCCTATCGCGATAGACTTTGTAACACATCATCCTGCCTTTAATTTGGGGGTTTCCACCACAGACCAAGCAGACTTTACACGGGTACCCACGCTGTCCATCCCCCTGGGGTTGTGAGTCTATCTGCAGGCTCCCGCCAGGGGGACGCCAGCCATGACGCCCGCCTGTACAGTCTCTGCTGGTGGAAGGTTGCAACCAGGTACCACACGCTCGGCGTCATGATGCAATTCACAGGCGAGTCGCATCATGGAGCTGTTCGCTGCGACGCCTGCGTCTGCAATTCGCTCCCCCTTCCACTTTTGCCAAAACCTTGTGTCTTGTGTCATTTATTGAAGCATTAATAGTATGATTATGATATAATTTATAATCTGTGTAATGCTCAATTATGACATGCATTGACCAAGCTGGCATCCCCTTCATATTTTGACACCTCCCATGCCACATTGTACTTCATGCAATATTTGCTCACATTTCGTCCTTCAGACGGATTTACATTAATTAACGCCAGACTGTTCATTTGCTTATCTGTGCTCGCATCCTCTTCAAGCATCAGTTCGTTTTGCCGCACCGTACGATACACATCGTCTCAGCAGACCTCCCACCCACCCATTCATGCAAAGGTCTCTATATAACCACTTTCTATACCACTACCGATCTCACTCAAGTGTAACTCATGTTTATCTGCTCATGAACAACCTTAGCAATAAACAGGTAAGGGGGTTTCCACCACAGACCAAGCAGACTTTACACGGGTACCCACGCTGTCCATCCTCCTGGGGTTGTGAGAATATCTGCAGGCTCCCGCCAGGGGGACGCCAGCCATGACGCCCGCCTGTACAGTCTCTGCTGGTGGAAGGTTGCAACCAGGTACCACGCGCTCAGCGTCATGATGCAATTCACAGGCGAGTCGCATCATGGAGCTGTTCGCTGCGACGCCTGCGTCAGCAATTCGCTCCCCCTTCCACTTTTGCCAAAACCTTGTGTCTTGTGTCATTTATTGAAGCATTAATTGTATGTATACTGCTATCTGTGGACATGCTTTATGCATTCTCAGACATATATTTTTTTCAAACATTTGTTTGCTCTTTTTTCCAAATCCCAAGGATTTGAGTCAAGGATGGCAACTAATTTACATAATAATTAGCTTACAATTTGATTTATTCATAATGTTTGTAGTTTTTTTTTTTTCACTTTTCGCAAACTGCTTACTCACTTCATATTACTTATAGAGCAATAGAGCAAAGACTGTATATAGCTTGCCCTTTCACCAGTCCACTTGAA